TTTTTGTATACAATCTACTAGCAGCAAATTTTAGATATATTAACAAAATTGGTCCACTAAAACCTTATGAACCAAGGTCAAACCGTTTGCGACCATTCCCCAGATTACGCTTTATTTTGAAAAGATCGCTGTATGAAAAAATATTTCACTTTTCAAAATTTCCCGACCAAAAACGATAAGCAATAGTATTTCGCCATTCTAATACCGCTTTGGTAAAAGAAAAACTCTGAATGAAACCATAGCAATAATATTGTTCCCCACCTATACAACATTTTAAGATATTATTGGCACAAGCCACGGAGCACTTTTAAAGCAAAGTTTACAGTAATTTAAAATGACAGTAATTTAAAAACCTTAGCAAATTAATTCCAAGAGTTTCTCAAATATTAGCTTTTGCACGGAATCAAAAACTTCAAAGAATCAAAAAAAAAATCGTATTGCAAATGTTTTTATGTTTAAATCAATTCCAAAACTTTCTTTATGCCTCCCAACTTAAACATATGCCTTCGATTTTAGCTTAATAATGCACCTAAAATATGTATATAAGATCACGCACAAGATTAATTTCTCCGCCAAGCACACAGAGTTAAGCACTAGTATTCATCGACTTTAAAGTTTTGAAAAACGCTTTAAATTAGTTGTAAGCTTTGAAAAGAAAAGTATGTCAGCTACCCGTACGTAAAATTATATTATTTATTTTTATTTATATGTAACCTCGAAGCCATTGATTATTAATTTATTTTTTAATTTATTAATTAAATAATCATAATATTAATTATGATGATATGTCTGCAAATATATAGGTGAGTATGCACCTTTAGATACAAGATATTGTTCACAGTTCAGTTCAGTAGTTTTTATCGACTTCTAAGTCGGAAATGTGCAGAGGATTTTCAAGTATCGAGAAGAATACATAAGAACAATATTCGACAACTTAGTCCAGCACGAGAAATTTCATGGTACTTCATATACACAGCTGAATAATAAAGCAACAGACACGGAGCAAGTTAACACAAAAAACAATTTAGTTCATTTCGTTTTCTCTCCTTAAAAGATGCATTAAATGTGAAAAAAATGGTCTTATTATGTACATATTCACTTTATTTATTTAGCCTCGTTTCGTGACATTTGTAATAGAAGGCGGATTGTAAATTATTGCTAAGACTAGCTAAGGTGCGTGCCAAGTTATTTTGACCAGAACTTGTCAGTCTTGTCACGATAAAAAAGGGCAAATCGCAAGTTAAATTTCATTTCTTGACTTTCCGCTACTTACGTCTCGATCAAACTATACAAAGAAGATGAAAAAAATTAGAAACAAACATATCCGCCTGAGCAGCCGAAGGCGAAGAATCTCGACTAGCAAGTCAATGGTAGTGGGTTCGAATCTCAAGTGCGGTAGAGTTTTTAATAATAAAAGCCGATAGCCTTTAGATGCTAGTGCTTTTAAGAGTTTAGTCCTAGAATTTATTTCTCTGCCGAAATTAATAATAATAATAATAATAGAAACAAAAGTACATTGCCCAACATAGGACAGGAACATCCTCTCAGTATCATTTGGAGTAAAACTGTTGGAGTAATTTTACTTTGTTTTCTTGCATTTCTATAAAATAATAATAATAGTAAAATATCGATTACGGATCAGGCAGCAGCAGCAAAAACAACGACACAGCAACAATGAAATAAGAGGTTATCACAATGTAAGGGGAAGATTACGTAAACATATTTTTATATACAGATATACCTAAATAAATATATTTCTTAGAATGCTTGTTGTTAGTGTTTATTGCAAATTGAAAGCCAATTATGCAGTTATATTTACCCGCCTGCCTTCTTGCTCAACTCCATGATGTGATGGCTAAAATATGAACCCTTTACCATACATATTTATTGCAGGACCAGGAACTCCAATGGTAGCAACAGAAGCAAAGTTTCTCAGCAAATAATATGCATGATTACAAACAATATTATTTTTTCCGCTTCCGATTATTAAAAAATATTTCGTTTTCAACATCCATCAAATTCCCTTTTTCATATGGGAAAACCACTCTATTAGCGAAGATGATATGGTACTATCTACACCCTTTCTGCCCTTTCTCAGAAAGGTGTACTCCTAACGAAATGAATAGCTTTATTCTTTTCCCAAACTCAGTTAGTCGCAACTACGTCTCTGTTTTTAAAAATCAAGATACGTTTCTATATCTTGACTAGCATTTCGACATTTTTGAGCTTTATTACGCTTAAATCTAGAGTACGCATGCCTTTATTCATGTGAACCGCAGCAACAACACACGTGGTTCTCCTTCTACATACATCAAGAAGTATCCGTTATTCTAATAAGTAAACTCCACCAAGAAATTATTGATCAGTTATAGCTGCGCTGCTTTTTTTATTATTGTTACTTTGACTGTTTTTTTTTATCTTGTCTCGTCGATGTATTGGTGCAGCAATACATGTACTTAACCAATTGTGATTACATATCAAAATATATAACTCTAGCAATCAACCAATGTTTGTTTACTGATGGTTTTTTAGGTGGCTGCAACTTAATACTTCCTTTAGCTTTTATTCTTAGGTTTACTTCTTCTATTCCAACAGGACGACATCTACAACAATGATGGCAATGACGACAACGTACATAAATATTTGACACAGGTCTATAAATTCAAAACCAATTAGCCACATAAGATGATAATAGTTGTTTGAATTTAGCACAGCAATAATACAAAAGATTCAATTTGCCGTCCGAGTTGTTGCGAGTTTTTCTCTTACAATTTTTTGTTTCCGCACATTTTTATCAATTGATTACAGAGCCTGCTAACATTACCCGGTAAACATATAGCATAACATAACAGTGGCCTGTTGGCATACACAAATTTAATAACATACATCCTCACATGCATATAAAAAGTACAAGCACAATCAAATAATCACACTAAGGTTCAGTTTATCTTGAGCAATCGTTGCCATTTCTGTCGTGTTCTAATAAAATTGTTTCCAGTTTTATTACCATTTTATGCAAACATGTTTATTTGGCTGCCAACTTTTGATTGTTGTTGCTACTGCATCTTCCATGAAACGACTAGAAAGCCAGCAATAATTTCCTATGTTATTGCGGTAATCATTGTTATTTATTGCATTAACAATATATACAAGAAGAGAAGATATGCAAACACAAAAAAGACTTAAGCTATGAACTTTGTCAATTTAAATCTTGTTAAATCTCTTTTTGCATGCACGTCTATTCGCACATGCTTTTAAGAATTTGGATAATTTAAGTAATTTATAATCCTTTAAAAATTAAGAGATAAGAAAATTATTTAAATAATGTTGTAGCAGCAACTACATCTTTCATTTACTATTACAAATGACTTCCTCCAACAAGCAATTGTTGCAGTAAAGCATACAATTCATATTTTCGACGATTTTTTTATATGAGAAAAAGAAAAATTGCTGACCGAAGTGTAAAATTTAAGATGCCCAAATATTTCGGACATCCTTCATAACTCTACATAGTAAAAATGAATGTGGATAAAAATATAATTGGTAATAACATACACAGAACTAAATCGAATGCATCCGCATGGTAGAAGATTTGCCAAAATTAATTTCTTATAAAGAGAGATACCCTTATCATTTTTCAGAAAATTAAATACCTAAGAATGACACAAAAACCAATTGTAAGTCTGAAAAAATCTTAAGTGGTTTAAACATCTCATCTTCCATAATTGTATAGCAATATACGTGCTTGAAACTTAAAACGCCTTTGTCTCGAGACCGATTTTTCAAATTGTCAAGCACTATATCTCCAACAGTTTTCATTTTTATTTGAATTTTTTACGATATCTTTAAAGTAACAGTTTTCAGTGGAAAAGTGAAATTTCGATATGTTAATTTAAACATTATTTATTAATAAAAAATTTGTTTTTTTGGTCGAAAATGGAACCTTTTTATTCAAATACTCAAAAAATCATGAAAAAAATATATGTTTATAAAATCCGGCTCTTCGAGTTTCATTAGATATAAGCGGATAGATGAGGCGATTTTTATTTCTTTTGATTTAAATTCAGACCAGTCATATCTTGCGAAAATGGATATTATTATTTATTTTTTTATGTTTATATCTTTATTTATATTATACATATTATCGTAATATAAATGCCCTTTCTTCCATCACAAAACAACAAACCTATGAAAAAAAAGCTGTTTCCACGCTGTTGAATTGGTTTGCCACCTTAACATATATATATTATAAGAGAAAATTTTGTGGGGAATTAATTTATAACACCAAATTTTAATAATTTAAATTCAAAATAAACATCATCGACCCATCGAACCGTATGTTACTTTTTTTTTTGTTTCCTATATTACCAGAATAAATAATTGCATATCTACGTATCAAATAGCCCTCAGAGAGCAATTGCAAAATGTCTTTGTATGTTTTGAATAATTATAGTACTCAACAATTTTATGAAAATAGAAAATTGTCTGTGAAGTGTTAGATTGCAACTTGTTGAAATTGAATTGAATTAAGCAGATCATAGCAGGATAGCCATCATAGAATGCTCTTCAACTACTTTCAAAGAAAGGATAACCGCAATCTGCTTATTACTATCAATAAGGTTGTTAAATTCTTCTTAATTACCGAGCCGGGAAGCATGACGGTGAGATTCTACAAAACCACCAGGATGGGGGAGAGGAAATTGTAGGTGGGCACCCATACAGATACGTCACACACGCACTTAACGTTTGATATTTGAGATCATTGATTATCATCGGTTAACTGTACGTAATGTAACGATGGTAGGATTTAAAAACCACTTTGTCAATAAAATATGAAAAAAGCGACGCAAAGAGCTTAGGAATAAAATTTAAATTTGCGGCACTTTAGTATGATATTAAATAGGGATGGGCATTGAAACTTGATACAGAAAACCAGTTTGAGAAAAAGCCAACTCTATTTTCGTTTTTAATTGCGCCAATGATTTTAAAAATAACATCCATTTTCGATTAATCCTTTATTGTAAAGCTTCCATTGGTTGACGAGACAGAGATTTGGTTATTTACTCATATATTCCGCTATAAACTCCTTAATTATTTGAAACTTTGTTCATTAAAAACCACAAAATTCCTAATAACCAACTAGGCGGGCTGTTAATGTTATGTTTTCTATTTACCATCTCGCGAGCTTCGTCCACAGAATATTCGACTACATCGATTATCTCATCCCCAGTTCCACCGCCAAGAAACTTTTTTTGATCGTCAGTCACTTCACAATAATACATAATCTGTTTAGAGCCTTGTGTGCCCACCCCAGATCTATATATGAATATAATTGGTTTCGACACAATAATGAAGATAAGTTGATTTTACCTGTAAGAGAAAACTTCTTCAAGTTGATCTACAGGCACATCATAACCGCACTCCTCCAACATCTCCTCACGGGCAATTTCTCCCCATGACTTATTTTTATCCACAATGCCAGCACACATTTCAATAGTAATACCCAAATTTATTGGAAATTTATGAAGATCTATATTTGCAACATCACCGCCGCTGCTTGTTACAATAGAATGATAAACAGCCGGGCGAAACTGTTTAACAAATATCAACTTCTGTCTCGTGGTGTTAAAAATTATTATTGACACGCTGTCGTGGACCGTGAGTCCGTCCCAACTCTTTTCCTTTCCATTTTGTATGTAATGCAAACGGAATGGACGTACGTACGGAGAGTCTTTAGGCAACGGCGCTACCCACATTTTATTGATTTTCTCCATATTTCGGTTGAATTTACTTATTTGACGTAAGATAAAATCGAGGCACCGTATATTTTTTCAATGTCTATATATTAAATGTTTTTCTTTCCTAAAATTGTAATTAAGTGCGTTAAAAATCACGCAATGTAAATAACAATACGAACAAATCTTCAATTACATAAAGAAATAGAGTTGTCGAGTTTCGGATTAAATATAAAGAACCAGCTGTCTGGTGGTTAAAGAGCAAGCGATAATAGAAACAATTGGTATTTTGTTAAAATTTAAATAAATGAATAAATAAATAGCGGAGCAAATTAAATTAATCAATCGAAACCGGCACTTCCTACGCGTCTTAATATATATCACATTTTCGATATCAATCAATAACGATTTCTTTTTTCATCGTCAATTCGATTAATTGTTTCTTTCTCTCTCTTATTGGCACATACTTAAATCTTTTTAACACAAGTTAAACACATTATCGGACGTAAAGAAAAAGATTTATTTTTCCCTCACTAAACAGTAACCAAGCAAAATTTGCCTTTGAAGTATATCAGCAAAATTATTCGTATTTTAAACAGTTTCTTTCATTATTAACCAAATCATTCAAAGTAATTTTAAAAAAGTTGAAAAAATGTTAAGGCCTATGAAAATGGTATTTTCAAATTGTGTTCGACGTACGTTAGTGACCACTGCCAAAGCAGCTCCTACCGCTGCGAAGCAGATGACCTGCAGAGAGGCACTTAATTCAGCCATGGATGACGAAATGGAGCGAGACAGTCGCGTCTTTTTGATGGGTGAAGAAGTGGCTCAATATGATGGCGCTTACAAGGTGAAGTAACCAGTTGGAGTTTTTTTATAACTCGCTTAATATTACGTAAACGTAGATAAAATTATCTTGCAAATGCATATACATAAAATAGGAGGAAAAACGTAATTTCTAAAGTAATTTCAGATCAAGTTTTTATTTCCTCAGCGTAGTTAGTTTAACATCGCTCCTCAAAAGGATATAATTAATTTATCCTTTTTTTATAAAGGTCTCGCGCGGTTTATGGAAGAAATATGGTGATAAACGTGTGATTGACACTCCCATCACCGAAATGGGATTTGCTGGTGTAGCTGTAGGTGCAGCCATGGCTGGACTGCGCCCGATATTGGAATTCATGACATTCAATTTTTCCATGCAAGCCATTGATCAGGTGAGTTGTTTTTAAACATTCATCACATAAAATGTTTGCTTCTGGTATAGCATATATCTCTCTCGCCGTCACATATATTTTATCAAAAACGTTCTACAAAAGTGCAGGCAATTAGAGAATAGTCTCTATCTTAAAAATATGACTATTGCACAAGATATATGAAGAGTATGTCAATTACATTATTAAAAAGTGTTACTAAAAAGACATTTCATTGTCGTTTTACTATGTACATAGAAATCTATTTAATTTTTAGAGGATATAACGAAAAAAAAGCGTAACTGTTTTTATCAACCCAGCCAGTAGAGTTTAATTAGAATTTACTGCCTGAGATGATGTTACGGCATTTAAACTCATATAAATATAGAAAGGCCATTAAACAAAGGCTAACGTCTGCACAAATATTGATTTCAGAAAGGTTCTCCAAGTAGTTTTTTAACTCATATTATCTCATAAAAGAAAAGAACATTTATATACACAACAAACATTTCTTAACAAATGAAAATGCCAACCCCGAAAAACACCAACAAATTTTTGTACAAAATCAAGGACATGGTTCTGCGATATTACTTACTGGGATAATATGGGTTAAAAATTTTATTAAAGAAAGCAAAAATAATTATTAATTGCATCCTCTCTTACAGATGTTTTGTTCCATTTTTTTAATATTTTTAAAAAATAAAATTGACCCATATTATCCGCTTGCTACATAAACAGGCATCGCTACGCTGCTGCACGTTGAGCACCATAAACGCAATACATTTACAAACTGGTCGCATAAAATGTACCAAAATCAGTACGCCAGTTTATGCTGAATACGCCCGCAATATACCTATAGGGAAATTAAACAACAACCCTCAGATAGTTGATCCATTCAAAACAAATTGTCTGGATGAATTAAATGATATGCTGAAAGAGGGCAATCAAAAGTACGCTCCTGCCTTAAATAGGAAAGACAAAGTGGAAGCAGCGCGCATGATTGTGATAAGACGTCGTAAAATGAAAAAACACAAATTGAGGAAACTGCGACGTAAAATGAAATTTGAATGGGCCAAAGTGCGTCAGCGTCGTGAAATGCGCAAAGAAAAGGCATTCCAAGCTACGCTTATAACTCAAATAAAGGAAGCAGAAGTTTTTAATGCTTCTAAGTTTGTAGAGGAAAAACTGCAAAAAGCCAATGAAACACCTTTGCAACGATACTGGAAGGGACGCCGATTGCCTGCGTTTATAATTAAAGAAAAGTTTGGCCTAAAGTAGATAAGCAGAAAATAACACGCAATTTACTTTTAAAAAAATTTTATTAATTCCGTTTTTAGTTTGAAAAATCATAAATAAAACTCGTACCAATAATTGAATGAATTTGTTGGTATTTTTCGGTGTTGTAATTGAGATCTCTAAATACTTTACGAATTTTTATATCTTTAAACAATTTGATGCAAGGTTATAAATTCAGCGGCTAAAACATTCTACATGTCAGCGGGGCAGATCAATGTCCCAATTGTATTCCGCGGACCCAACGGGGCTGCTATGGGCGTGGCAGCTCAACATTCTCAATGTTTTGCGGCTTGGTATTCCCACGTTCCCGGGCTTAAGGTTGTATCACCCTACGATATTGAAGACTGCAGGGGTTTATTAAAATCAGCTATACGTGACCCTGATCCAGTTGTGGTTTTAGAAAACGAGGTTTTGTATGGTGTTCCTTTTCCAGTTAATCCTGCGATCATGGATAAAGACTTCCTAATCCCAATAGGCAAAGCAAAAATAATGAAACCTGGAAAACATGTGACGGTGGTTGGTCATTCTAGAGCAGTGGAGACCTGTCTATTAGGGGCTGTAGAATTGGCCAAGAAAGGTAAATTATAAGCTATTTTTAAGAATAGAACTAATATTTGTATCCATTTTCGGCAGGTATTGAAGTCGAAGTTATTAATTTACGTTCTTTGCGTCCTTTGGACACAGAAACGATTTTTAACTCAGTGAAGAAAACACATCATTTAGTAACTGTAGAACAGGGCTGGCCCCAAAGCGGTAAATTAATTTCGTCACTTTAAGAAAAAAGAAAGTGACTTCAAATCTTTTACTAGGAATTGGTGCTGAAATCTGCGCACGCGTTATGGAGGATGAAACATTTTTTCATCTAGATGCACCGGTGTGGCGCGTATGTGGAGTTGATGTGCCTATGCCTTATGCTATAACATTGGAATCAGCCGCAATTCCTAAAGCAGTTGACGTTGTGGCAGCCGTAACGAAAGTTCTAGGAAAAAAATAACCTAAACATTTTCTCCTGGAAACTTTCATTTGGAAGTAGTAACACACGAAATGCACGAATCAGAGAATATCAATGAAAGTAGGTTCTTAATAAAAAAAACGAAGTTACCTTAATGCAAAATTTATTCTTTTGATCCAAAAGCTTTCTCTACCAGTTCTCTACTTATTATATTTACTCTCTAAAATTTATATAGTCTTAGGTTAGTGACTTCTTGTCCTTTCAAAGATACAAACAAATTTGAAAACAACCTTTTATCCAATCGATTCAGAATTGTTGTCTAAATATGTCGACGTATTCTTCCAATACGTCCAATATTTGCATCCTCGCATCGAAATTCTGAGATATTTTGCGACCACTCCGTATGTAAAAGCTCATTGTGAAGAATATGTTGCAAAAATTTGATTTCTTAATAGAAATCGTTGAAAAGTTTGATTTTGAGGCATTAATAAATGTGTATAATTTGAGCAGAGTGGTTAATTTTTTGTACACCACCCTTTGATTTATAAACAATTTCATATGTTTTCTTTTGAATTCGCCTTGCCAACCTTTGTGCCGACCTTTGAATTGTAAACAACTTCATATGTTTTCTTTTGAATTCGCCATGCCGACCTCTGGGCCGACCTCTGATTTGTAAACAATTTTGAAACGGCCTTGCACAAAACCGGTCTTTGTAATGGTTAATATCACTTTTTTCTATTTACAATTTATTTACTAAAGCTAAAACTGTAACAATGTTCATAATAATTTTTACAATTATATTTTACGCTATTAGCAATATGCAAGGAGAAGAACGTGTAGCATTTTTATTTCGTTTCGGTCCAATTTCTTATAGTTTTTTTCAGTTTGTTATTTGCTCGGTGGTTGCTGTAAGTAAGGGAGTAAGGAACATCTGTTGTTATTAATAAAATGGGACTTATTATTTAGAATAGAAGAAGCATTTGGTTTTCAATTATTAAATGATTATTTCTTCGTTTTATTGTTTTTCTAAGAGTTGAAAAGAGTAAAGAACCAAATAAATACGCAAATGTACAAAAGAAAAATTGCTTAATTTTAACGGAGGATAGTGCTTACGTTATTTGACAAACTTTCAACAACAATAATATAAAGTATGTTATGGCTTCAAGTAGTAGCGATGAAAGTTCGAAAGCTCCAGATAATTTTCATGTATCCAGTACTTCCAACGACGAAGACGATGAGGAACATGCTAGTAAATGTAGCAAATTAAAAGCCAAGCCAAAAAGTAGGGAAGAAATTGTTAGCTCAGCGCCTACACTAAAATGTTTAATCTGTAAGCAACACCAACAAAAATTTCACTGCCGTGATTGTGTCAAAAGTGGTTTTATCACCAGAAAAGGTCTCCCTCATAGTGAATGGTAAGCAATTTTCTAACAGTCCAGTAAATTTACTTAAATAACCACAATCTTTAAAACTTTTCTCCAAAGCTTATCGAACAAACAACAGGAATATATCAATATACAGGCTGCTCTGCAGGTGCTCAGTCAACAATGTGAACGTTTAATTAAATGTGAGAAGTCCAACGAAAATGTAAAATTCGAAATAAAACGTCGCAAAGAACAAGTATCATTATTGCAAAGCTTAATATCGAAGAAAAAGGGAAAACTTCAAAAGCTCAAGGAACAGCGAAACGAATTAGCTAAGGCCAATAGCGACAAAAGTAAAACTTTACCCAAATATCCAATAAAAGTGAAAGAGTTGGAGGACTACGTGCTTGATCGCATAGAAAAAATAAATAAATTAAGAGAACGGCATCAGTCGTTATTACAAAGAAAAAAAGAGTTTACACGTCGCAACATACAACAATTGGTCGAATATATATTCCCTATAAGCGAAGTAGTGCTTAAAGATGAACAAAGCCAACCAATTTCCAGTGCTGCTGCCGATAGCGGGGACAAAACTGTTAGTATATTAAGTGAAGAATCGGAAACTATAGCCGCACTGGCTGATGCTAAAAATACTTCATACATACGTGGAAAATGGGTTTTTCATGGCAGTGGCATTAGCGAAATGCAATATCGTATCGTGGCACCGTCGTTACCTGCCAATGGAGATTATACGGCTTATATAGATTGGCTGAAAGACAACAAAGATGATATACCCAAGACAGCCCATGAATTTACGCCAAGTCGAGTAAATGCTTTTCGTATAGTGGGGGCTCTTACTTATACTACCCAACTGACTCATCTAATAAGTTATTACCTAAATGTGAGATTGCCTTCCCGACTCGCTTATGGGTGGGTGACTAGCATGAAAAACGCTTTGAAACTATAAATAACGATTTAATTAATTCCAATTTTAGAGATTTTTGTAAGAAACTAAGTGAGGAGCAGTTCCTACGCAAAGTATCTCGTCTGAATTCAAACATCATGTATTTAGCATACACGCAGCAGGTGCAATTGCGTGCTCTCAATGAAAATCACACTTTGGAAAATTTACTAATTCTATTGGATCCAGAAAAAAGTGATCTTGGACGTTACGGTTTTCAAGAAGTGGCAAATGCACCACTAATGAAATCTGTAGACTCCTTGCTCGTAGGCATCGAAACAGCCACTGAGTCGGAATCTGAAGGTAGTTTGAATATAATACATTTCAAATATTTTCCAAAAAAAAAGTAAACTTTTCTAGATGAGAATTCATTACGTTTAGACTGGGAAGCCGTACCAAGTCTGCCCACACAACATGAGGTAATTAATTCAAACTTAATGCCTGCTACTGGACAACAACAACAATCTACAATTGCTGAAGGCCTAATGACATCGGCTGCCAATCGCATCAATTCAATATTGCGTTGGATCAAGTAAACATTAAACAAATTACTTGACTGTGATGTTATATTAATTCTTGGTGTTTCTACTAAAGGAAAGATATAATAAGCTTATCTTCATTATTCTCAATTATTTTAAGTAGATTCCGTCAATGTAATTTCGTAATCTTACTATAAACAAGTAGTTGGCTAGATTACTGTTATTGCCGTTTTGTTTGATATATAACCTTAATTTTTACATCATTATTTAAGAATATCATTTTAATTCAAACGATTTTATTAATAATAACTTGTTTGTACGATGCTTTTAATGTAAATAAAAATATATCTGCGTACATGCATAATAACCGGTAAAGTATTATAGCAAATACTACATTGGCAAATAGCGAAACGATCTTAGCCACTGGACCTTTTGCCATTGATTACTTTACTCTTTTGGGCGAACATGCGTGGGCCTTTGGCAAAATGGTTACAAAATTTACTTTCATTTTATAATTGTTCGGCGCTACAATACAGAATCTATTGCTGAACCTTCTACTTAATGAAAGCATATATTTCTGTTTGTACGTACTTATCGGTAAAGCCGTGTTTTAAGCCGCATATTTGACAGGCATTTGAAGTGTCTATTTTTTGTAGCTTCCATATTCATTTGGAAGCAAATAGGACATATGTTAAAAGACATAAATTTCGTAACGCAACCATTATAAATAAATTACGTGCTTCTTTGAAATTGCCTTCATTTCATCAATAAGCTCAAACAATATTTAAATCAATGGTATGAGATAAAGATATGGAAAGTATATATAATATTATATATAATAAATGATAATAAAACAATAATAATAATAAAATGAAAGCAAGTTCACATTTAGGGGCATCCTTTGATTTCTATAAGTGCTGAATTGCATTACTCAATATATTTCCCAGAGTACTTTCCTTCCTAAATTGAAAAAATTCCGAAAGAAAAATATAGCAAAATTTTGACATTCGTTGTAATGCCCACCGAATTTAAACAACAAAACTACTTTGATTGCACCTACAATTTTCTGACTGATTGAGTATAGTTAACAAGGACGAAACAATAATCGGAGTAAGAAATAAATGCATACGATGAAGTGTTTAGCCCGAACATATAAGATTAAAAATATTGGGTGACTGTATATGATACCAAAGTTTCGACTCGCTCTCATTTCTTCAAACGCACACACTAATTTTACAACTCGTATGGAATAAATTACAATTCTTCTGCGGCTTGCAGAGCATTTCTTCCTCTTTTTCTGTTTTCAATAAGTTACAGCTTTAACAACCAATAATAGATGTCATTTAAGAGCCATCACCCGTATATGGAGTTGGCCGTTATTGGTTGAATTTATCATTCATATTCCATTTGTTGTTGCCTGTTTTGTTTACATTCCATACAAGCGGCCTCGATTGGTTGAGCTTGATGAATTAGTGGAAATATCAAGGAGTAACTGCTCGATCAAAATTGAAAAATCGTACAAAGTATTTCGCGAGATTACTAAACTACAATTTTTTCTTACTTACTCAGCCACTACCATTTCCGTAGCCTCATAAATAATAAACTAATTGTAATGAATATAAAATATAGGTACTTTCTGCAAATAATTTCGATCTTCTATAAAACATGATAAAATCACTTATTTGGATTTGCATTGTATATTATATAATTATAAAATTACTTTTCTAAAAACGCTTCGATTTCTTACAGCGCAGAAAAAAACTTATAGATAACAAAGAAACTGCACTTTAATTGCTTTTATGGGACAAAAAACCAGATTGAATTGTTTAAACTTACGTTTCCATTTTCGAATGAAGTTACTTCATCATTTACGCTTGCTGATGATAAACTGACTCATCCTTGTTTGATGTTACTGCTTGATTCAGTGTGGGAGATGATAATGTTATTGTTGTTATTGGTAAAGGTATATTCATATTCTTTAGCTCTGTTGATATTGCAGCGCTCTTTGATGGCGGTGGCAAAAATAATGGCATACTAGAGAGTTGATTATATTTGGGATTATCTCTTGATGGCCGTAATTCTGTTGATGCAGCAGTTGTTGTGAAAACGTCGCACATAGCGGAAACTGGCAGTGGCAGTGTTGGTATAGCTGCTGCAGCGAGATTGGTCGAGTTGCCACACAAAGTCGTTAATGCTAACGCAGCCGCTATATTTTGTTTACTCTGATAAAATGTTGAGGTTGAAGATGTTGGCGGTGCAGTAGTAGGTCATTGAGGCTGTAAGTTTGGCGGCACTGTTCCCGGTTGGGATTGCTGGTTGTGTGATGCCGTAGAGAGATTCTGTTTTAATTGCAGTTCCTTTGAAAATTTATAAACATAAAATTTATATAAAATTTATAGATTTATATACTCACATCAATTTCTATAAGGGTGCTCATTTTGCTCACATCCATACCCACAAAATTGTTCAAGCAGAAAGTATTTGTGTTCGAAGTCTGATGGTTCTTTGTTGCCTTTGTGTTCCTAGCGCCGCCATTGTTGCTCCCAGTGTTATTGGAAATTTTTGTAGCCTCTACTCCCCCTGTGTTTGGGGTACTGCTTCTACTATTAGATCTGCCTAACCGTTGCTTGCTTTGGCTTTTGGCCGGATATATCCCCACAAATTCGATCTCAGAATCGCCACTGCTTTCTCTTCTTGAGCATAAAGTAGGCACTGTTGCAGAGGCTTCGATTACAGCTGCTATCTGCAATTGCTTATTCATATAGTCGAGATCAATAACGTGCGTTGCACTGGAATGCTTTAAAGGCTGTGAAGGTGCAGCTTTAGTGGCACTAAATATGGAAGTCGCAGTGTTACTACTAGTGCTCACTGGTATTAAAGCAGCTGTTGCTAAAGCAACCGGGTTTATTAAATGGTTAACGCTATAATCTGCTCTTTTAGAAGGTGATACCAATTCCACCGTAACCTGTGGCAATTGCTTGCCGGTGGTAATGACTTTTGCTTGTTCACCATTAATTTTTGTCAGTCGTGATTTGCTCTGTTTACTATTGACGGAGGAAGAAGACTCGGCGTATTTACGTTTAAGGCCACTTGAAGTACTGCTGCTGGCCACTGAGTCTGTATCCGAATTTGCATTAGAACGAGTAGCGAATTCTTCAAATTGCTTCATGTATGTGTTCGGACCAAGCTGAGGGGTGTTTAAGTTAGAATTTACAGACAGCTGCAATGCTAAATTCGGGACAGTAATGGCAGATGTATTAAGAGTAGTATTTGGAGTTGCTCCAGCTAAAGATGCAATCGGCGCCTTCTTTTTCTCTTTAGCTTTCTTGTCGGCAATCTTTTTTTTCTCAATTTCCCTCTGCAAGTCTTCATAGCGTACCCAACCGTTGGGCCAAATTTGTACCACTTTTTGACGCATATAATTTGTAAGGAATTCTTCAAGACTTTCCTTACTGGCTTTCAGAACTGGATAAGAAGTCCAGCGAACCTCATACACATCGTATAGAAGATTTCTAGAAAAAAGTAGTTATTAAAAATTCTCCCAGTTAATTAATAAGCAAATAAAGTAACAAATTATTTCACCTCAAATGATTGTTCCAAGGAAATTTCTTCTTTGGCATCTTAGGTGGTTGATCGGTATTAATATTTGTAGATCTGAAAGTAAACCAGATTGAAAAGGTTTGTCAACAGAATATTTCCTATTTGCTCTTTACTGTAACTCAGCATATTTGCGCAGCTCGGCATCGTAGCTGGCGAGGACTGCTGGCATGACTTCTGTAACCGCTTTTTGTAGCTTATAGAAAATTCTTTTGCTTTTCATTTTCTCCTCTTTAATGCGCAATTGTTTGGCTTTCCTTAGAAAATAGTATTTCGGCAAAGATAACTGAAATTCTAAATGCGAAAAAACCATACTACGTTGAGCTTTGTCCAAACATAATAACGAGTCATCAATTCTGGATAACGAAAAAACATTAGTTAATTGTTAATTTGCTCAAAAAAGACCATACTTAAGGAAGTCGTCAGTCAATTTATCATCGAACTGGAATTTTTTGCCTATTAAGTTTTTTGCTTTAGAACTGTCACGAAATTCATAAATGCCTTTTAAAATTTCGCCATCGATTTCCGGCAATTTTGTGTCCGAAGTTCTGAGCTCTAAAATAGAAATTTTTTTTCATTCTTTCGAAAAGAAAAGATTTGCTAATTAAAAAAAGCTAAAGCTTACTTTCTGTTCCTGCAGCATCTTCACTGCCAATCGATTTCTTCGCTTTTTGCTGGTGACTACCACTTTGATTCGAATCACTATTGTCGTCCGTATCATCATCCTCAGAATCTTCAGATGACGACTCATCCTCGTCATCCTCATCATCTTCACTTGACTTTACTTTTGTGTCACAGTTTGAAGACGATTTAGAGTCAGACGTATGTTGTGATTTCAAGAAATTGTCCCTCTGAGCCTTTAACATATCCTTCACTGTTGTAGTTTTCTCTACTTTTTTAATAACGCGTTCTTTCTCAGAGTCAGAGGCCAGATCGTCTGTTTGAGGTTTTGGTGAATTAGAGGAAGAGCCCGACAAACCGCTTTGCACGGTTCTGTCTTTTAATGTTTTCTTGGTGACGCTGCTCTCTGCACAAAGAGTTTTCTTTTTTGATGGATTATTGGTTGGAACCGAAGTTTTTTTGCGTTTTTCAGCGGGTTCTGAACTAGATTTTGTTTTTGTTGTTTCTACCGAGGATTCTTCGGCAGTTTCCTCATCCTCGTCGTCCGATTCATCATCCTGGTCTTCGTCCTCACCTGAGGAAGACGAATCTTCCGAAGACGAGGAAATGACTCGCTTTTTAGGGCGATTCGGCATTTTAATAATTTCGTCAGTTTTCGTGGTCAGGGATTCAGTGTGTAACTTTTTGAATTCCAAAGCGCCACAATTAATATAGAAGCCGCCTTCTATTGTTTCGACTTCATCGGGTATAATCTCGTCGTACTGGAAACAAACCACACCATTTATAAATGTGCACTAATATTCTTGAATTTTTATATAAAACTTACAGCTTCGGTGTTGTCTATGAAGGAATCAGATTCGTCATATCCCATGCCAATATCGTAATCGCCCCTTTTATTTTTACTACGACCGCTCCCATATGCAGAACCATATTTGCGCTCTAATTCTTTAGCTATACGTATGACATCTTCGTCATTTTCTTCGAAAGGATCCGTAAAACCGTTAGTCTTCTGTTTCAATTTCTTCAATTTTTTCTATTTTAAAAGAAAATTTTTATTATATACATCTATATTAAGCTCATTTTTATACCTTTTCTAAATGCACTAATTTGGCATAATTGAATTCCGGATATTTACTAGAATCTGTTTGAAATAATTCAATTTTCAGTCTAACATTCGTTTTTGTGTTACTTTTATTATTACTGGTGGATTTCTCTGGAGGAGTTAAAAGTTCGGCGCCTAGTTTTGTTGAGGACGAGTTTCCTGCCGTTAGTATCGTTGAGGACACAGTATTACTGATTGTATTAAGTGTTACGCGTTTTGGCTCAGTCATAGTTTCACTTCATTTGCAGTTCTACATAAATTAAAGGGTAAACACTGATTTTCCTTACCCGTCAATCGAACTTTACTAAGAGTAATCTTGAAAACACATCAATCCTTTCTTTGCACACACACTTATATTCAGGCACTCAATGTAGATGAGTTTCTCCTTTTTGCGAGGTCAGAGCACCTTTTTTTTATTGCGTATGCCTGCTTTTCCTTAAAAATTTTCTCTTCGGTTTCAGCATATCATTTAAGAAAAATGTAAAGTTACTTTACTAACACGCTTGAAAAAATCGTTGTTTTGTTGTGTTATAGCTTGGAAAACATTTCTTTTTCAATTTTCCTTTTTTATATTAGATTTTTTTGTCCACATCAAAGACGCGACGGCCTTCCTTTTAGCATCGGTAGGGAAGATGTGCACTTTTTCCACTCTAATGCAAAACTTCAAAGTTTCCAATCGACAGATTTTAGATTGTAAAAAGTGTTTATATCTTAGGCACATCAATTTAGGTCTACAATAAAATTTTCACAATTTACCAAAAAAAAAGGTTTTATCTAATTTTCGCGACAAAAAGTGCAATTTTTAGCGCCGCTCTTTCTACAAAAGTGTTGCCGCAATTCTTGCTTTTGTCAACGTCAACAACGTAGTGATTGCAGTAAATTGATTGCCATCACTCTGATTCATAATGTACCCAAAAATTTAAGTATACTTTTTATATCCAAATAAATACTCAATTTTGTGTTCCGTAAAGCTCACAAATGATATATAAGTCCGCGTGGCATGTCTTAGTTAACAAAATCGCTTAAGCTCCTTTTTTCATAATAAAAAAAGGAGTTAACTTGTAGGCTAAAGACTTTTTCACCTGTTTAACAACCATAAGCATCACATAAAAAACACTACACTACAAAGATCCTTGTGATCATAACTTATGCAAGTGTGCCGCTTGTGGTTTGTATTTTGACCATAATTCATGCAAGTGCGCCGTTTGTGGATAGTATTTTAATTTCAAGCAAGCAATGATGCAGTTATGAAGACTTGTTTTTAATATTAAAATAAGAATATAAAAATCATTCCCACCCCGTTTTTAATAACATGGTATTCTTTTCTAAAACTGGAAACCCTGTGATGCATTTTTATAAGTTCCTGCACATTCTTATAAATTTTCTTAGTTATATACAACACATAATTAAACCAAGGAAATATCTAACTGTAAATAATTACCAAATTTATTTTATCTTATCGGAATTAATAGAATTTAAGGCCTAAACGCGATTGATGACAAAAAGGAAGCAAGACAATAACACATTAAGAGTAACGCTGGTCGTTTTTTTGAAAAAATCCTGCATAAATATTTGTGAAAAGTAATGAATGCATTTTATCTATATCACTTTATTGCTAAGGTAACAGCGACTTTTGGATATTTCTATATTAAAAAATTTTCACATCCCACGCAGATGAACTATGATGATTTACTATCAGAGTTAACTGATGAAAAATTGGAGCTTTTCCAAACCTCTTCGAAAGCAGCCCCTGAGGAGGCAATTGAAGAAGAGCAAGCAGCTACGATACAAACTGTATGTAAAACGTTCATAAAATCTACAAATGTTCAAACTTCAAAATCTGAAGGTTCCACACCTCAACGAAAAGTTTCTACTTCTTCACGTCTAATGAGCGCATTCCAACAATTTTACGCAACTGGCAATAGTTCAGTTATAAACGATGGTAACGGTACCTCATCCACTGCGCCTACAAGTCATACTCCCACTAAAGGCGTAGAATCAAAATTGCTTTCCATGTGGCAGAACGTTAAATATGGTTGGAGTGGTAAACTGGCAAAGACGAACTTTTCCAAGGAACAACCCGTTTGGCTTTTGGGTCGTTGTTATCATCGCAAATGTTCGCCATCCTCTTCTATGGAAACTTCAACGGAAATGTCGATTTCTAATACAGGCAGGGAAGCAGGGAATAACAAAAATTCAAGTGCGCATGATAGCGTACAGCACTTCAGTACTTGCTATACTTCCAATAATTTCTCCAATCAGAAAGCTCCAACCTCTACATATCCCATAATCAATCTTCAGCAAGCTGAAGAAATTATTGTGCCTCAAGAATTGGGCATGGACGCTGCTGAAAATCAGGTTGCTGAAAATCTCTGGGAAGAAGGAATAGAAGGTTTTAAGCGCGACTTTTACACTCGCATATGGATGACGTACCGTCGCGAATTTCCCACAATGAATGGCTCTAACTATACGTCTGATTGTGGGTGGGGTTGCATGATACGTAGCGGGCAAATGCTTCTTGCCCAGGCTTTATTATGCCATTTTTTAGGACGCAGTAAGTATATTATATTATTAACACGGATTTACCTCCTCTTATTCTTGCACTTTTTTTAGGTTGGCGTTATGATCCGGATTCACAATTGCATTCGACTTACGAAGATAATATGCATAAAAAAATTATTAAATGGTTTGGCGATATATCTTCAAAAAGCAGTCCATTTTCCATACATACTTTGGTGCATTTGGGCGAGCAGATGGGCAAAAGGCCCGGAGATTGGTATGGACCTGCTTCGGTTTCCTATCTGTTAAGGTAAACAAAGCGAAAAGCAAGGAAAATATTATGTAGCTCAAAAGGCCTAATTATATTATTTCTTTTCGCACCATAGGCAAGCTCTCAAGAACGCAGCTCAAGAAAATGCCGATTTTGATAACCTTGCCTTATATGTGGCTAAAGAAAGTACAGGTATTTGTGAGAACAATTTTGATAGAGAAAAGAAACTTTAATTAACAATGTGTCATTAGTTTATATTGGAGATATTGAAGCAGAATGTTGTGTACCAGAACGTACCCCAAAAGCAAAAGCAAATGTGCCTTGGCGCAAACGTGAAGTCCAGAAAGCTACAGAGCCAAAACAACAATGGAAATCTTTGATAATTTTAATACCTTTACGTTTGGGTACAGAAAAACTTAATCCAGTTTACGCTCATTGTTTGAAACTATTGTTAAGTACCGAGTATTGTATTGGAATTATTGGTGGCAGACCGAAACACTCATTATATTTCGTTGGCTTTCAAGGTGTGATTACGTCATTATATAATTTTCTTCTATTAACATTTTTTTTACAGAGGATAAACTCATACACTTAGACCCGCACTACTGTCAGGAAATGGTAGACGTAAATCAGGAAAACTTTGCTTTGCATTCATTTCACTGTAAGTCACCCCGTAAACTAAAAACTGCAAAAATTGATCCCAGCTGCTGTATCGGATTCTATTGCCAAAATAAGATTGATTTTGATAGCTTTGTAGAAAGCGTACAATTGGTAAAAAGTTCTTTAAACTTCCAGAGTTTATATGTTCACTTCACTGTTCCTTATAGTATTTACATCCAATGCGTTGTGCTTCTGGCACCATTGACAAAATTTTGCCGCCTTCTCAACAAATGTCTAACAATATAGCTTCCAGTTTCACTGAACCAAGCAACACTTCCATGCAGTATGCAGAAATGAATTATCCATTATTTAGTTTCTCACGTGGAAGATGTTTACAACACGAAATAAATGTAATGAACGATTCCCTTTATAGGCCTTTGCAAAAACCATTGCAAGAAATTAAGGCCGAAATGGACTATACTGTATTAGCTAATATGACCACAATGCAAGCAGCAACAAATGACGATGATAGCGAAACTGAAGAATTTGTTCTACTTTAAGAGTAAAAAAAGAGAAGAATGTAAACCATAACACTTTTTATGGTAAAAATAATAATAATTGAGCTTCTTACATAAAGACATACTTTTATACAAAACCAGCCTTTCACATAATTCTACTTATATATTTATGCATTGTATTCTGTTGCTACGTCTTTTCTAACACTTAATGCATCTCAAAATTAAAGACTTCGCTTAAAGTTAACTTAGTTTATTGCGTCAATAGTAACGTACAAAAGTTGTTATTGAATTCATTATGTCATTATGTATTTGTTGGATAATTAATTCCTCATGGTTTCATATGCAATTAAATATAGAAATAACATAAAATTTAAAAAGTACCTTTAACTTATTTATATTTTCTTAACTAATTGTAAAATTTTATATCTATATTTCCCGAGTATTTTAATTTGTTTTCTTGCTCCACTCCTTTCTACTGATATGTGATTATAAATGAACTACCCTGTCATTTCATACCAACTAATATGCTAACATACGCTAAAAATAAATCTGTACGTGCGTTCACAATTGATTAAACGAAAAATTTGCTTAACTGGATTTCTTTCATATCAATAAACTTTGATGCTAGCTTGCCTGACAATAGAATACGGCATATAAAACCCGAAAACGACGCAAATCATAATTATCGGGTATTACGCTATTTTTTTGCCTATGAGAAAACACCTGCGTTGACTTTTTGCATTGAGATATTAGATGTATGTAGGTGCTGCGCCAATCGCTTAACCAAATGAACCAGAAATGGATGAATTAATAAATATACAACCGTGCAACAATTCAAACAAAAGTCGATGCCATTTCCATTGATACAAGATCGTATACTAATTTTGAGTAAGATATTATCATGAAAGATATTTTTTTTCTGAGTGTGTCCAGATGTTATGCAATCCATTAAGTTCCAATTAGAAGTAGACGATCCGCAAATATCGAAAAATCAAGCATTCGATCTTTAGACCGATGGTTCAACCACTTCAAAAATTGTGATTTCGAAGGTTTAGAGCTTTAAGCTACTTGCAGAAAATCTTAAGTATTGCCTGCAAGTAATGATTATAAACTTAAATTACACTATAGCGAAGCCTTTTTATCCACAAAATGCTTTTAATACTACCTCACCGCATTAAACCAATTAAAGACGAACTATTCGTAAAATGTGAACGAATTCTTTCGCCTTTTAAAATGTTGAAATAAATAAATCGGAGAACGGTCAAATTCTGCTAAATTGCTTAGTTTCAAAAGTTGTATTGTTCAAAGATCAATATTTAGGTGTGTTACAAGAACTTTGCCTAAGGAGTTGTTTAACTTTAATTATCTCCTGTCTAGGATAGTTTGCTTATTAACTTACTTAAATTTTCCTTAGCGGTGATTGCTTTTCTGGAATCAGAACTTATAGCACGCCTATATTGTGCTATTGCCAACGGTAATTTGTTCCAACGATGATATAGCACGCCTAAGTTAGTATGGCATAAGTAATTAGACGGTTCTTGAACAATAATCAATTTATATAAAGTTTCCGCCTCCTCATAACGAGCCAGTTTACCCAAAACATTAGCGCGCACCAAAAGTATGGCAGAATTATTGCGATGTAATTTTAAAGCCTCTTCAGATACATTTAAAGCCTCTTCAAATAGAGATAAACTATCTAGAAGTGTAAGTATATTAGTCCATGCCTTAGCAAGTTGAGGTTTCAGTAGAACTGCTTGTTTCCAATATGATAACGCCTTATTATATTGCTTTCCTTCGACGTACATATTACCAATATTGTAAAAGCAATTGGCATAGTTCGGCCGATAAAATAGAGCTTTTTGATAACTAACCAACGCTTTCTCGTGATGACGTGCGGTTGCTTGCACTATTCCTAAATTCATCCAGGCTGTAGCAAAATTTGGAGCAACTTCGACAGCCTTCTGTAAATATTTCTCCGCGGAATTTAAATTACCAATCTCACGGTATAAATTTCCAAGATTCATAAGTGCGGCCTCGTATCGAGGGTAGAGCTTAATTGCTTCATGATAATGATAAAAAGCTTTAGAGTAGTTTTTAGTATCACTCTGAGCTAAACGGGCAATATTGTAATGAACCTAAAAATTGTAGAAGGAATGTTTTAAACATATTTTCAACCAACTAATATTTAATATTAATATACCTTAGCATTATTCGGGCAAACTGTCAAAGCTGAAGCAAATAGTGTTTCTTCCTTTAACCATTCGACGGCTCTCTCCCTACAACGAAGGATGTGGGAAATCATAAGCATCGCTAAGCAAATTTTAAGAGTGTTCTTCAAAATCCTTAACTGGGCTACTCTAAGTAATTTAAGGTAGCCAATTGCAACGCCAAAACTGAAACCCATTGAAGGCACATATAAAACACGTTCCGCTATAACAAAACCAACTTTTAGTATACCTGCAGCAGGAAGATAGGGTACAACACATAAACTGAGGGAAAAGGTTATCAAAAAATTTTCTCGATGATTCCTTACAGCATAGAAAAGGAACATGTACAAAGTAAGGACTGGTAACAGGCGTATATCCCGAATGCTTTTTACTAGTGGTATACATTCAAACGCCCAGTCGAAGCTTAACTGTGAAGGTTCTAGAAGAATGTAAATGTTCTTTGCGTAGAGATAATTTTGTGACAGTGTACGTGTTTTTAAGCTATCAGCGTGGGCTATTGGATTATCAGCTTGTTGAAAATGTGGAGTCTCGAAGTTATTCAACCAAAAGCGCCAGGTAATTAGTAAAATCATGCAAATAATATATATAAGAGATCTGGAATTTAAAAGCTTTTTACACTGCTGAAGCACTGTCAACTTAAACCATTGTCTTCTTGTATATTCCAGAGCAATACAGGCTAAAGGTATGCATACCGAAGTTTCTTTAAAAAGCACACCCACCGAGCTTAACATCAATATAGTTAAAGAGCATAAATATTTCTTATAGTAGTAATTTACCGTGATCATCATTGAAATTAGGTAAATGAGCGCAAACATTAGATCTGCGCGTGATACTATTCCACTGACTGCTTCTACATGAACTGGATGTACAGCAAATAATGACGCGGTTAATAAGGACACTCGACGGTAACTTCCAAACTCCAACCACACTAACAGTCGCCATAACAATAGAGTGTTTACAATATGCAAACCAAGATTTAAACGCTTCATGTTCCAACCAAAATTGAATTCGTAATGAAACATTAATGTAGTCAGAGGACGATAAGATTTATGCGAATTATTATTTGCTAATGGCGTCCCCCAAAAATCGTTATAAAAGATGGCGGTATAATTTGTGGGCAATTGCGTTACTGCATGATTTTCCACTATAGCCACTCTATCGTCAAATACAAAACTCCCATCCAAAGCGTGACCATAACACAGAATAGATAAAGCGATTAAATACAATGTTGTAATTGATTTAGTTAGAATATTATTGTCGTAATATTTAAAATTAATGAGCATTCCACGTGTTAACGACATTATTTATATTCGATTATATTTTTTCTTTTTTTTATGTAAGTGAGCAACGAATCAAGCCTGTAAATAAGATATTTACATCTGGTAAACGCAATGAAACACAAAATCTTCTTAGGAACTTCAGTTTGGTAACCGCAATAGAGACGATTGTTTATATTTATGAATAGACGCCATGAAATAAAAAAACCATATGTTCAGAAAATACTACGATTTGTGTCTAATTAAAATAAAGTTCATGAGTGTAATCACGTGGGTGAAATTTAGCTTTCGCTTTTGTATTCAGCAGTTTTTTGCCGGACAGCTGAATGTAACAGCGAAAGTCAATCTTTTCTTACGTGATTACCCTCCTGATTAAAGTAGGTGATTAGTTAATGAACTTTTTTAAAAACAAAAAAATAATAAAAGTTTAACTAAAGTTTATTTTTCAAAGTTATGCTAAATCAAAAATTGTGTAAGGATTTTATAAAATCTGGGAAGCAATCACTTAGCTGAAAGTTAGCTTTCAGTGTTGTTGTATTCAGCTGTTTGGCAATAATTTTTCATACGTGATTACCGCTCTTGTCTCACTTTTTTTTTAAAAGTTATCTGTTTATTTGTTGCGATTCCATGTTTTTGCTGATAAAAAATTATAGTCTCGTATTACATAAATTTACTTCGAAGGATGACGGAAGAAATTGTTTTCGATTGTTTACATGCGGAAATTATTAACTATTGCTTGGACGATAAGGTTTCTCTTTCTTGATACACTATTCTTTATTAAACTTAAGTAAAAAACAAAGGAAATAACATTTCTAGGAAAATGATTTTTCAACCTTGGAATATATTGGTTTTACCACGGGCTATCGCTTAATTGAAAGACTTACCCGAGACGTAAATCGTTTTAAAGATGAATTGGAGACTATAAAATTTATATGCACTGATTTTTGGACATTGATTTATAAGAAACAAGTGGACAATTTAAGAACCAACAATCAAGGCATGTATGTAGTGCAAGATAAAGCATTCAGATTTTTAACCCGCATATCACCAGGTTCTAAACAATTACAACACGCGCCAAAGGTAAATTTTAAAAAACAAAGTCTGAAATATAAGTTTTAATGATGCGTTGGAAGTTCAGTTTGTAGCTTTTACTTGCGGATTAGTGAGGGGCGCACTTAGTAATCTGGGAATTACCAGTACAGTAACAGCAGAAGTGCAATCTATACCGGCATGCCGTTTTCACATTGAAGTTAATCGCAACTGAGATGGAAGCTAAAATTATTTTTCTTATAAATATAAAAATTATAAAATTAAGGAAATCAATCGAGTAAGAAATGAAATGAAAGCCTTTTGTTTGAAGGACTTCGCAATTTTTGTGTCTAAGATTTGAATCAAAAATTTTATTAGTAATTTATATTCTTTCATATAAGGCTAAAATATCACATTCATTTAGATGTAGGCTTTCTCTTAATTGCCATTCTTTTGCTGATTCTATTTCAAACTCGGGTTGCAGGGGCATTGGGTCACTGTGCACATTTACTTTTTCTGAAGGTCCTATAAGAATAATCCATTTGCCTTTATATATGCTAATGTAGTACAAAAACGCTTTTCGGTTGTTAAAGTAGCAAAAGAGTAAAGCGAAATTCCAGTTACGAAGATTACAACAATTTTGAAGGAATTTCTGTGCATCTTCCAACTGCGTAGGCACACTTAAGATATCATCTGCATAATTTAATTTAATGAAGGATTTGACAGCATATTGACTTTGCCACCAATTGCGATCAATTTCTAAACCGTAAACAAAAATGTCTTTAAAAAACAAAAAAAAAAAAAAATACATTAAACAAGCAAAGAGATGCGTCTATTAATGTAGCACGTACCCAAACTTTCTGTAAGCAGCCATTCTAATAGACCACTACCGCAGCCGATGCTTAAAATAACTTTAATATCGAACTTTCCTAACAAATATTTTAAATTTTCCAAATATTTCTCTGTAGGCCAAGTCCATAACAGTTTTCTTTTTGAATTTAATTCTAGGCCATCTCCATATTTTAAAACTTGACGCCAATTTTTGGTTTCTTCTTGTGTTAAATAATAAATTTCCTTGTAAAGATCTAATGTTAATACGGTTGACATGACGTCTAGTCTTCAAAGTCTAGTGTTCGAGTGAGTAGAATATTATGAAAAGCGTTCAAATATAAAGATCGTCTTCCGCTATTGAATTTGGCGTGACGTTTATTGATCTGTAGATCTACAAATGTAGTGCTTGTGCTCATTGACAAGTAACAGGTGCTGGTTTTTTAAACAGCGGATGGCACATAGCCAATTTGAAATATTTTAAATTAGTCTAACATCTTGGTTGCAAATGCACTTTATTTACATTCCTTTTCGAAATCGATAATGAAACTTGTACAGGAAAACCTTGACAATTAATTTTTTTTTTTTTTTTTTGATGTTGAGTTTGAATGGACTAAGTAACTCAATGAAAAATGCGGCTTATATGTCCAGGTAATAGTATGTGGTGATTATTTGCAATACATATATGTATTCAATTTTAAGATTAAGAAAAAATTAAAAGCATTAAATGTTGAAGCCAAAATAATAACACTTCAGCATTAATATGAATTGCAAAGATTCTTAGCTGTTCAAATTAAAATTCTGTTAATTCATAGTTATATTTAAAATTTTTGCGCCAGTGCAATGGTTTACGTTTCTCTTCAACTGGTTGGTGGTTCACAACTCCGTCAGACGTGGCAGGTAAACTATTTTGGCTTTCTGACGGCATATAAGATCCTTTGTTGTCGTTGTTGCTCTCGCCATCTTCCAATATACGGCGATACAATTCAATATTAAATAGCTTTTTGGGCGTCTTATGTCTATATTCGTATTGCTCTACTATCGTTTGCAAATGACTTTCACCATTTCTTTCATTAGATACTTTAATATTTTCAGCCTTTCTCAATTCGCACGTATATGGTATCCTAACTGGTTCAACATTGCCTATACATTTTATAACGCTACTATTTTCTATGGTTTTGGGTGATTGAGTTTCTTTCCCTTTATGAAATTCTTCGTTGCTTGTTCCGTTTGCTTCGCAATTTTCGTGTATAGCAATGACTGGATGTAATTTAATGATTTCAATACTTTGGTCAACAGTGCAATTGCTATGAAAGACTCTAACATGCCGTAACATGTTATCTTTCCGTAAAATTGTTGTGTCACAATGTATGCAGCGATATTTCAAGGAATCTTAATAAACAATTTTACAAAAATTACTTTATAAAAAAAAATCATAAACCAGCACGTTCATTCATACTTTGATGTTGTTTGTTATGCCTTCGAAATGAAGCCAAGTCGGTAAAATTTCTCCAACATCTTGAGCATTGGTACATCACAATTTTACTATGCCGTTTGAAATGGGATTTTAATGACGAATTACGAGGGAACCCTTTTCCGCACACAGTGCAACAATATCTTTTCGCTTTTTATATATATGTATATAATATTGTATTTAATAGTGCAGTACATTGCATTGAATATAAATAAAAAAAATTGACTTACTTTGGTGTGTAAGTAGATGCTGTTGCAGCATTGATTTGGAAGCATAACTTTTATCGCATTGACTGCAACCATGCACTAGGATTTTATTATGTTTTGCTGCTACATGCGTCGCTAGGGAAGCCTTACTGCGATAGTTTATTCCGCAATGCAAGCAGGTTATACTTTGCATTTTCTCGTCATGAATTTTCTCGTGTTTCCTTAAAATCAAGCGATTGCCAAATACTTTAGAGCATTGGGAACAACGCCATTCTGTAGACGTATGAGATTCTAAGTGATATTTTAAATGAGAGATCTTAGCAAATACCTGAAAAAATTGGTATAAAAAAAGAATTTAATTTGATTAAGTCAACAAACCTTTTGACATTTTTCACATTTATGCAATTTTTGCTGTTCTTCTGTATTACAACTCAAATGATAATACTTTTGGGATCTGCTATTAAATACTTTATTACATTCAGTGCACCGATATCTAGTGGTTCCGGCTTCTGTCACTTTCTCAATGTGAGTGAATAATTCGGTCTTCTTGTTTTTCTTGACATTATTTTGAATGTCCTTTCCAGACAACACTACAGTGGACGTTAATGGTTCTTTATGACTTTGGCCAAGTGCAGCACACTGTTGGCAATGATTTTCCTCCTGTATGAAACAGTGTCGGCATTTTTGGTGACTGCAACTGTCCGTGATTATACGATTTCGCTGTGTATGTTTTGCACCACACTGGCCACAACTTTTTTCCTTTGAATTCATTAATTATTTAATGGTCTGTGATTGCATTGGTAAGTGAATATGTATTTGCTTGCAAACAAAAGGAGAAAACAGCTGCTTTTATTGGTTACCCATGCAATATCGCCGATTGTTTTAGAAAATGTTTCTCGTTGAGACGCAAAAGTCAATAGTTTAAATAAATGCACTAGGTATTAATAATGTTAGAAATGTATTAACATAGCAGAAAAGATAGCATTAAAACCAAACCAAATTTTTGTTTCTTGGTTGGCGAACCAGGGTCGCCACAGACTACACAATCTGCCCTGTCTTCGCTGTCAAATTATACCTTACACTATTTATTTTGTTTTATTCACCTATTTATTCAATTGTTTACACATTTTTATAGTCTACATATGGTGTACGGAGAAGCGGTGTAGGGTACTTTTGCGCAATTATTTACTCTTTCGTTATAAGCTGGCTTAAATAGAATATATTTTGTAACCGAATCTTGTATCTTATATCCATGAATAAATAAATATACGCGAAAAAAAAATGTTAATCTTAGCGTAAAAATTTCCTTTATTTACATTAGCCAACAGTCTATCGTATTAAACACGCCACGATTCATGAATAGCTAATACAATGTTATATGCGATCAGTAATAAAGTTGTGTGCGTATCGCTTGCACTATATTTTCCGTTATCTATAAAAATGGCGAAAGTCTTCATTGGACAAATAATTCATACTAAATCATTTGACGATTTTATTTTATATACAAAGGGTTTTGTAGTTGTCGAAGCCAATGGTCAGGTAAAATTGTCTATTGCGGTTATTACGAAAGATTAACAATTATTTGTAATTCCCTAAGTATGGCTTTATAAAATTTCATAATCTATTTAAAGATCGTTGCAGTGGGTGATGACTTCAATCGATATTCATCAACCAATGCTTTTCCAACCAACATTGAATTTATAAATTTGACTAAAGAAGAATTTTTAATGCCTGGTTTAGTGGATTGCCATATCCATGCTCCTCAAATGGCTCAGATTGGTTTAGGCTTAGATATGCCTTTGTTGGACTGGTTAAATTTGTATACTTTTCCCTTAGAAGCCAAATTTTCTGATAATGGTTTTGCAGCTAAAGTATATAAGAAAGTAGTGGTAAATAATTACTCTAACACACTATATTTTTACAAATATGAGCCTTTCTCCCACACAGGAAGACACAATTAAAAATGGTACAACTTTGGCCTGCTATTTTGGCACCAACCATAGAATGGCCACTTTAATTTTGGCCAAAGAGGCATTAAAACAAGGGCAAAGAGCTTTCGTGGGTAAAGTATGCTCAGACTGCAATATTCCAGACTTTTATGTGTATGTTTTTGAATATACTATAATCATTTTCAAAATGCCTTGACCTCGCACATATTTAAATTTAGAGAAACTACCGATGCATCATTAGAATCTACCAAGATATTTGTTGACGATATTAATAAATTAGGCAGCAGTTTAATTCGTCCTATTATAACACCTCGTTTTGCCTTAAGCTGCTCAAAAGAGCTTATGATTGGCTTAGGAGATATGGCCAAAAAATATAATTTACATATACAGGTAGCAATTAACAAACGCAATGAGACGTTACCTGTTATCATTAAATATAACTTTTATATGTCTCTTGCAGAGTCATATCAGCGAAAACCTGTTAGAAATTGAACATGTTAAAAAGTCGTTTTCAACATCATACGCCGAAGCGTATGACTGTGCAGGATTATTAACTGACAAGGTATGGAAATTATCCGCATAGTTTGTGTACTTGAGCAGCTTTTTAAAAAACAATAAAAAAAATTTCTTAACATTCTCTACGCTGCTTAGACCATTTTAGCCCACGGCGTTCACCTAGAGGATGAAGAAATGGGTTTATTACAAAAGAGGGGCACTTCTATAGCTCATTGTCCGGCTTCCAACACAATGTTGCGTTCCGGTCTTTGCGATGTGAAACGTCTAATTAACCAGGGCATTAAAGTGGGCTTGGGAACAGGTAAAAAATATCACCAATTCATTGACTATAAATTCTTTTTTTTTCTTACATTGAAATCTGAGCCGTTTGAGCTTGGAACAAAATTGAAAATTATTTTTGAATATACAAATTCTTGGAAGATAAAATAAAATTTCAATACCCTTATCCACGTTTTTAGTGCGTAGGTGTAAATTGTCTCAAATTCTTGAATTCTCTTACCTTTTTTTTGTTAGACGTATCCGGTGGTAATTCCCCGTCTTTACAGGATGCAATTTTGCGTACAATAGATGTGTCTCATCATTTGGAATTTATCAAAAAGCAAGAAATCAAAGGAACTGGCAAAATAACGAATGCTGTGGGTGATAATACCAAATACGAGCCAATTGATTTTAAACAAGCTATATATCTGGCAACTTTAGGTGAATAGAATATCACTTTTCTTGACGCATTGTGATGGGTTACCATTAATGTCTTGAAACTAAATTATGCCAGGTGGAGCCGCTGCTTTAGCAATGGGTGAAATCACCGGTAATTTCGTTGTCGGTAAACAATTTGATGCTTTACTTATTGATACCAGCAAAGAGCCGTTGCATAATTTCGGTTGTTATAGTGATGATTACGAGAAGAAACCAGATGAACTTAAACTATTAGAAATGGTGCAAAAATTCATTTACGTTGGAGACGATCGCAACATACAGAGAGTTTACGTTGCCGGCAAGCAAATAAAGTGACTCTTAATATTTTGATTACTTTATGTACGTGAATATACATGTATAAATACAATACTTTCAAAACTTAATTGTTTTTAAGATTTAAAATAAGAAATAAAAAGAATTTCATACGTTAGGCAATTATAAAATAAGAAACAGCTATTTACATACGCAATAAAAAATTCCCTTAACTATGAGATAAAAGAAATAGTGGAATGATGTGCATATAAAATGATTTTCATAAGTATTTCAAACATTTTGAATTATTCAGATGAACAATTTCAAAGTTGAGTTCCGATAATATATGTACGGTGTCCTTCTAGTTTCTGTGGAGTAAATGCAATGTTTAAAGTGTTTCATGATCTTTGGGATAGGAAATGAATGTGATGCCATAGATATATATTCTCTACGTATACTCAACTTAAACACTAAAAAAATTTAAGTAAATCATTTTAAAGTTTTGTAAAATTTAGAATCAGAAAATTTTGTAGTATAATACATGCAGGCAGAAATCGCTTCTGTTGAAATTGTGAAAAGTATTTCTTGCACAATTTAAAACTCAACAAAAAACCTTAGATAACGATGGTACGCCAAACTTAAATTACAAAAAGTTATTAATTAATTGAACATATGCTGTTGAGTGGTATCATCCTCAAAATCAGTCCAAGCATTATTCAGTTCCATAAATATCAACTTAGCGATTTCTTCGTTGTCGGTGCCATTATGCTGCAATTATACATCATATAAATTTTTAAATATATTTAATAATTATAATTATCAACATATAATTAATAAAATGATTTTTCATTATGAGCTGGAGTAGAATAAGTTCCTGAAGAGAGTGTTAACATTGATAACAAGTCCAATTTGCACACAGCACCAATTTTTATATGCATTTTTCTGTTTGTTAAAACTTCATTCGTTCTCTGCTAAATATTTTTATTTTTTACGAGGTTTGGATTTAATTAACAATTCAAAATTCTAATGAATCGCTGGTATTTTCAGCCACACTTTAAAATTCAAAATCTTTCCCTATTAATATGTTCAACAACGTCGAACTCGTATAGTTCTTATTGAAAATCTCAAATTTATCCATATAGATAATTTATTTTTAAAATATATACTGACCTTGTCTGGATGCACTGCTAAACAAGCTTTTCTATAAGCCTTCTTTACATCGGAAGCAGATATTAATTGAGACATTTCACATTTGGTCCATTTTGCATCCGTCCACAGAATTGTATGCATCGAACATAGTAAGGCTCGAATATTGTTCTTTTTGCCATCGGTCTGCAAAATCATTTGTTATACTATACAAAAATACAACTGAGTGATTTTCATACTCATACCCATTCCATAATTTTAAGCTTTTTTGGGTCCATATCCTTAACGGTTTCATCTTTGCGCATTTCATTAATCGAACGAGGACCTGCATTTATTTTGCTTGTAAATTTATAGCCTTGTTCACCCAAAATGTCAGCAAATATATCAGAGTTTTTAGTTGATGATGATGTGTTCGTATTTTGATTTTGATTTGATTTGCTTGCTTCAAAATGTGAACGGCTATAATCTGGTCGTATTGAGGACGACGAAATATTAGAAGTGTTGTTAGGCGCAGTAGTGGTAGAGCTAGTAATTGAAGTCGGTACATTAAGCGGTATACCGAAAGCGTTGGACGTTTTCATATGATGTGGTGAAGTCGAGGTGGATGTTTGAGCTGTCGGTGCTCGTATATTGCCGGTACAAACAGGAGCTATGTTATGCGTTGGACTGGGAAAGTGCGTGCTAAACGGACTGTTTCCTACTGGAGTGTGACCGGTAGATTTACCACCACTTAAAGTGTTAGGATTGAAATTTATATTCAAACCCGAAGCCAAGTTAGCGATATCAGCAAAAGGATCTTTAGACTGATGAAAATGATGATTTTAAATACAACGTAAAATTTTTTTCATAGCATAAACATACCTGTGGGGATGTTTCTTTCTGTGTAGTAACGGTTGGAATTGTTGGAATTGGTGCGGAATTCAGAGCAGTAGGTGTAATATTAGAAATATTTTTTCCAGCTTGTGCGTTGGATGGCGAAGTGGCAAACGCATTAAAATTCAAATTGAATGAAGTTGCTGTGTTAGAATTTAGCGGTCCGAAAATATCATCGAGATCAGCTGCCGATTTCGGTTGAGAATTATTCTCCAAAATATCAGGTATTGATGCTGTGCCTATTCCCGAAGAATCATCATCACCAAAAGCTCCTAATAAATCAAAACTCGCATCCGTTGAAGGCATAACAGTGGCTTGGGGATCCTGTGGTTCTTGATGCGAATTTATTGTTGGCTGATTTAAATTAAGCAAATCAATAGGCGGTGTAGGCTCCGATGGGACAATTAGTATCTCATGATTAACAGCAGTAATATCTGGTAGTACCAAAGGAGAGGAAGACCGTTTTTCTTTCAGTGCTAATGAAGATTGCGGTCGACTTGAAATAGATTTCAACATTGTAGATGAAGTCTGCGATGTCGGCTTAGTTACTTTAAAAAAGATATGAAACGATTAAAGCCCTTGTACCCAAAAATGCATCAAGAAGGTAAACTCACCGAAATTGTCTACCATTTCCTCATATTCCAACTGATTGCTGAATAAGTTCAAGGCATTTCTACGAGGTTTTGTCGGCCACCACGGCGGATTTCTGCTTGGAGGCGTTTCAACATCTGTGACCGTTAAGGAGAGTGATACTGTGAAACTAGATGCTATGCATTCTGCATCAGCTAAATCATCTAAATCTTGATTATAAAATGTCATCAAAGTTTCCGGTTCCGGTATGAAACCAGTATGCAATTGAAATTGACAAATTTTTACTCCCTGAGGACGAACCATTCCTTTTCGAGCATGGAAGAGTATAATAGTTAGATCACCGCTCACGTGCAGATTAATAGGCATAGTAATTTTCCCAGGTCCCGCCATGTACAAACGTATTTTTTCATAGTCCTGCATGGTAGTCAATAATAGACGGTCATTATTGTGCACCTCCATGTATAGACGGCAGCCATCACGTGCTTTAGTCATACGAGGCACTGGTTGACAACTTAATGACACCAAATTCAATAGTTTAAAATGAGGTAATAATGGTGTAGGTCGCAATAAATCTCCCAAATAGTAAAGAAAACGGAATTCAGAGGGCTTTAAATTAACTGGGTGGCGTTTAACAGCGAAAACTTGTACAGCGTCTTCTGGTTCTGATATAAGATCAGAGTACATAAGCAAAGCACAAACCAAGGTAGCGGCAGTGCAACCAGCATTATCAGCCGTTTGTATAATAACTAGAGATTTTGGATCTGCGGATAAAAACCCATACATGTCTTCGGCTACTGAAAACAAACCCTGCGAAAGAGTTAACGATAAAAATTAGAAACATTCCTGTTACTTTTACAAGCTCACTTCCAAACTAGGTGCTCTAGCTTGAGGGCAACCGTAAATAGTACCAGCTTCTACAGTGCGAACAGGAGGCGGTAAGCGTGGGCAAGCTCTGGGACCAAAATTATAAACGCTAACCTTCTGAAGAGGAAAACGACTTTCAATCGAGAGACGAACATCCTCAATATTATTGGTTTTGTAGGCTGATTCCAATCCTTCAGATGGACAAGGCATAACTAAAACACGCGAAGTTATATAGCTAATATCCAGGTCAGTACGAGCTATAGTTTGTTGCATTGTCTGCATAACTTTCGACGAAGTGTCTTTGAGATTTCTAAGAAAATTGCCAGCACCTCCACGCAAAGAAGAAAATAAACTTCCGTTTGCGTGTGAAGAGGACGAACTGTTTGAAGAAGCTTCACCTTGTGGTTGCTGTGAACTGTGATAGGGATTGTCGTAAAAGGTAGATGTGCTCTTATTTTGAATTTGTTGTGGATGAGAAGCCGCTACATTGCAAACTGCGTGGACCGGTGTTGTAACAACAGGTTTACCATTCAAATCGATAGGACCACGTAGCGACCAGCTTTTAGTCTCTGCAATACTCGCCAAACGTTCCATTATAAGAGAAATATCAAAGCGCTGGGCGGGATTAACTGTTAAACAACCTTTAAGAGATGCTTTAATTAAAAATTTACGTTTCTTAGACATCTTATCATTACATGTACCTTTAATAATCTCATGATAACAATTATATCTCGAGTCTGTGGGCACCATAAAATTTCCATTCACTATACGTAATTTCGCTGAGTCTTCAAAAGGATGTTTTTGAAAGCATAAAACATACAAAACACAACCTAATGACCAAACGTCCATCTTTAGGCCCACCTCATAGTTAGACCATGTGTCCAACATTTCAGGAGCGCGGTACATAGGCGTGGTTACGCTGGTTAACTTAAGGTTGAGTTTGTCGAATAGAATATTATTCAGTTTTAAAAGAAATTAAATTTTTATAATTCACCTGGTCTTCTAAAGTGTTGCGCTGTTGTGCATTCCAATCTAAAGTAGGCGAATATATAGTTCGCGTGGAAGAACCGAAGTCGCACAATTTCAATTGTTTGTCATCACCCAGCAAAAAGTTTTCAATCTAAATTAAATATAATCCAGAATTAGTGATGGATTTTTTAACTGATGTATTATTTACTTTTATATCTCTGTGCACAATTGGTGGTGTCTGCGAATGCATATGAGCTACTGCTCGTGCAGCTTGGTAAAATATCCTAAGCACCACAGATGGTTCCAACGTGGCAGACAAGCAGTCAGTTAACGAACCACCTTAATATTACACCAAGCAATATGTATATATATGTATATATATATATATGCAGAATGATGCATTATTTAATTTTTTATCAAGAGATTTCTTCTTACCTTTGCACAACTCCATTAATAACAAATATTCCGCCCTTTGTTGAGGACTTGTAGTCTTATCTACAAAGGTGGCCGCAATAAACGTCACAATGTTTGGATGCCCAGATAATTGTTTATGGGTGTTGATTTCATCTATAATTGACTGACATGCTCGTTTATCTGCACCAATCAGTCTTTTAAGGGCGTATTCTTTGCCCGTCTGGACATCAAGAGCAACGTAAACAAATGCAAAACCACCTACAAATAATTGAAGGGAAGTAAATTTGTATAATAATAAAATTGAAAAAACTTGTTTACAATAAGTCAAAATTTTCTATGACATCCTATTTGCAAAAATAAAGAGAAGAAAGATTACTACAATATACGCATTCGCATGTAAAGAGGTATATGTGTTAATAATGAATATAGTTAAATTTGAAGTTCTTTCTTTCTTATCTAAACTGATGTGATTGCAATTTGGACATCGCAACTAAGCTGCTATTTATTCCTAATTATTGATTTTTTTATTCTAACGCAACACCCACATGTAGTATCATACAGCTATTGATTTTTTGCAATCAATATTACCAAAAAACTTTTTGTTTTTAATAAAGCATTAAATGTCTAACCTTCTGCTATAACGCGTTTTATGAGCAGTTTGTGACCAGCTATTTCGACCAATTGACCACAAAAGTCATTATCTTGCGTACTGTTGTTGGCGTAAAAGTTGGCATTTGTTGAAGCACCAGAAGTTGTTGAGCCATTGTTGGCACTGCTAACATTTGCATTTGTGTTGAAGTAAACCATAGCGGATTTGAAAAATTCACTCATCTCGTTTTTACTTTAGCGGTAATATAACAATTTATTTAAATATCTTTCACGAACTCTTCCTTCTGCAAATTTAAATAAAGCTAAATGAACTTTTGCACTCCTGAAAAAAAGAAATAAATAAAGTTATGGAATAAAGACTTTTTTTATAAGAGACGTGCCACCTGGTAACACTGCAACAGCTGTTTTTTAAACAGAAATCCATCGAAATATAAAGAATGGTCTTTAGCAATAAATTATCATACTTGGGATTTTTAATTGTCGATGTTATTTCTTCTGCCCTATTCTTATAAATAAAAACTTATGAATATAAATATTTTTTTTTTTTGTGGTTTTGTGCATTGCTCTTATAAATAGTTTTATAATTAATCCTTCCTTATAGACTTAGGTTGGTTTAAAATAAGACAGCTCTTTTTTGATCACCCTGTATTAGTAAATATAGTAAATATTATTGGCATCGCAGGTATTGTGATATATATATGTGTAAGTGGAATGAGAAAGATTGTAATATATACACAAAGCACAAAAAATCTACAAAAGTTTTGGAAATTTAAACTATAACTTAAACAATCATAATCTAAGTACAATTAAAAAACCATGTCGCATCAAACTGGTATTAAACGTAAGATTAGCAAAAGTTATGGAAAGAAATAAAAAATGTACAATTGCACTTTTTTACTTGACAGCTAATGAAAAATTATTGAAAATTTTTGGAAAAGCAAAAAATGGCAAATTGCGTGTCATTAAAATATCTATAGAAAATGGTGCGATATATATTTTTTTGAACATATATTTTTCACAAAAGTTTTTATTTTTGGTATTGTTGTAGAAGAGTTATGTTGTTCAGCTACTGCTGAAGTTAAAAAAGATGTGGAACGCGATTTCGATAAACTTGTTGCTCCAATTATTGAAGATGATGTACCATGTTACATTTTATATAGATTGGATACTAAAATATCTGTAGGATATGCTTGGTTAATGTTAAGTTGGGTACCAGACATATCTTCAATACGCCAAAAAATGGTTTATGCTTCCACCAAGGCCACTCTAAAAACTGAATTCGGTACGGCTTACATTATCGAAGAAATTCACGCCACCACTAAAGACGAAACAACGTGGGAAGGTTACCAGCGCCATAAGAATGCATTTGCCGCTCCTGCTCCTTTAACTAGTCGTGAAGAAGAGTTGGTTGAACTACGAAAGACTGAGATTAACACTGAAATTAACACCGACTCTAAACATCAGACTTTGGGAGGATTAGCTTGCCCATTAACACCAGCTGCTGAAAAAGCAATTGAAGATCTTCTAAATGGAACGTATGATTATCTGCAATTTTGTATTGATTTGGAAGCCGAAGAAATACAAGTTAGCCAAGCTGCTGCAATTGGCATATGTGATTTGCCAAAGCAGATACCCGAAGAACATGCCAGATATCATTTATATTTATTCAAGCACACTTATGATGGTGATTATTTGGAATCATTCGTTTTTATATATTCGATGCCAGGGTACACGTGCTCAGTGAGGGAGCGCATGATGTACTCGAGCTGCAAAGCGCCCTTTCTTGAAAAACTTCAAGCTTTTGGCGTCGAAATAGTTAAAAAGGTAGGCGAGAGTGTGAATTAGAAAAATTTAGACAAATGATATAGAAATGTATTTATACACCTTGTAATAATTGATATTTTATTCAGCTAGAAATTGATAATGGTTCTGAACTAACCACTGATTTTCTTCAAGATGAATTGCATCCTAAAAAAATTCTTCACCGTCCCGCTTTTGCCAAACCTAAAGGACCACCGAATCGTGGAGCGAAACGTATAACAAAAACTCAGGAATTATCTTAAGATCATTGTGACAACGGAGATATTAACATATTTCGGAAACTCCTCCTTTTTTTCAGTTTGGAACTAGTAATATTTTTTTTGCTGCTATAAGGCAGATATGCTTTTTTCAGCTTCAAAAATATTTATTTTTTTAAGTATTCTATCAATTAGCGTTTTTTTGTGCGGTTGGGCACAGTGTGACTTTTTAATGCTAACCTAAATTGAAAATTAAAGAAAAAAAGTGTTATGCAGAATAAATTTTAATCCAAAAATCTACTTCGAAATTTTCGTTATAGTGGCGATTCAAAGAAATAGGTAAAACGACATTCTAGCAATTAAAGCAAAACTTTTTATTTTTCTTTCGACTATTATGCCTTGAAGTGAATCCGTGGTTTTAATCGGAGAGTTCATTCAACACTTTCTAAAGTAATTTTATCACCTACTTTCGAATCGTGCGCTTTTACAAGATCCGGCGTCGGTTCTTCCTTCTCCTCTGCCATCTTTATACAATAAGGAAAACATAAAGATTGTCAGTGTAAAAATATTAATGAAAAAATTTACTTTATAAGCTTCCACAACAGCTTCGTCGCGGTATTCTTTCCATTTGTACTGCCAATAGCGCACCTCTTCCATAGTAGTACCAGACATGGACATAAGTAGTAACGAAGCAACACCACCTAAGCTTCCCAGTGCACCACCAATAATACCGCCGGCTACCATGCCTTTTAACGGATAACGCATAAGTTAGTATATATATATATATAGATATACGCCTTTGTAAGGCAAGAGCTAAGCTTCTTCTTATGATACCTTTTAAGCCCATGTTAACTTTATATAAGGCGCCAGAAATTAAACCCGCTGTTAAGTACTCATACAAAGAAGATTTCCCTCTGTATACCGAAATCATGGTTACAATGCCGCTGAAATGGATATGTTTTGAAGTTGTCATTTCCATTCAATATCTTTCAACTTTACTTACCAATAGGAGGTTGTGAAGAGTGCTACTCGCCAACCCCATTTGAAGCCTCCTTTAGCAAAACTGACGGTGAATTCGTTTTGTAATTTTCTCTGAGAAAGGGTGATAATGATATAATGATGAATTGTCAGAAGTTTTAGTTAATTGAATATTCTACCTTAGCATCAAGATGTGATTTAAATGCTGTAGCTTGATTATTTTCCATGAAATTCATATATGCGGCACGTGATTGTACTATGCCGCCGTAAATGGCTCCGACTAAAAATCCAAGGAATCCTGCTTGATACACTGAATTAAGTTCAGCTGAAATGGTTCCAAATTCACTAAAATTTTGATTTGATGGTTACTTATTTGTTTTGTTTAAGATATTTTGTCAAAAAGGTAAAGTTACTCAATTTTAAATATATCTTTAACTCTATCATATCCGCTTTCGTTAGATGGTGGCCGTTCTATAAACGATTTATAAGTTTTGGTATTTTTAGAGACGGCGTCATCATCTACTTCCATTGGCAATACTCCAATCCATAATAATCTTCTGATAGGTCTTAAAAAAGCCATTTTATAAGTGGTAACTAAACTGACAAAGAAAAAATTTGGTTTTGTACTCACCAATGAAGGACAGGGGTGCATTCATATTGTTAAAACGTTTGCGACATTCAGAAGGAAGGTAAATGGTGGATAATGGTGGTCCTCCCAGCCCTGTAATATCTGTGAGATTCTTCCGCTCTCAAAAATGAAGAGCTCGATGTTAAATTTGCCAGAAATATTACAAGTTCTTGCACGTAAGCTTGCGTTGAAAATTGACTGAATTAGTCAAAGGACAGACCTATAGTGCAATATGAATTAAGAACATTACTGCTTTCTAGACTTTTGCTTATCACATATATGCTATGATTGACGCATGACAAGTTTCCAAGTTCTAAAGACGAAAGATATCAGCTATGCCCTTCAAATCATTTAGTGTTCTTTTAAGATTAAGATGGAGGGTAAAAAAGTACCGGTCACAACCGAGTACATTTTTTTACTTCTTTTTTCTGTATTCGCAGATAATCAGCTGTTATGCGATGCTTATTCCTACGCCTTATTTTAAATGGGGATTTCTGTTAAATATACGAAGTGATTGGTATTTCTGATAAAAATTATAGTTTTTTAAAGCATTGAAACCAAATGACGGTGTGTTAATAAAGCGAGTGTCTTTAGAACATATTTAAAGAAAGGTGTGCAACAAAAAAAATTTGTTACAAAAGGATACTTTATTTTATAATCATAAAACAATACTTTTGAAGAGCTGAAAAGTTCACTTAAGCCACTATCAAGCGTAAGATTAATTTATTTGCAATAAGGTTTGCTTTCACTGAACCGTAGTTGCCCTAGAACAATACGCATATTCATGCGAGACACCGTACGCTTCTAAACACTTTCTTAAGATTACTTAAACTTTTCGCCATCTTTGTAACTTATAATTAGATTTTTACCAAGACGCATTGCTCTGATTTAAAGCTGAAAAGTTCACTTAAACCACCATTAACCGTGGAGCAATGTTCATTGACATTAGTTCCTGGAATAGTAATTTTGCTGCATATGGTAGACGTACTTGGGATATTTGTGTCTTATTCTTACATCCTTTGCATTCAAAAGTGTTATTACGCAAATTTGCTATAGCAATTAATCCACAAAAATTGCAGATGTGCACACGGTAAGGATCAGATACTTCAAAGAGTCGTTCTCTAAGAAACTGTGCGGCGCCATGGGAAATTTGACAGTCACGCTCCATTTCACCGAAACGCAGACCTCCATCACGAGCTCTACCCTCCATAGGCTGCCTTACTAAAATCTGCAGAGGGCCGCGAGCTCGTGAGTGAATTTTATCGTCTACCATGTGTTTGAGACGCTGATAATAAGTCGGACCCAAGAACACTTGAGCATTAATTTTACGACCAGTATGGCCATTATACATCACTTCATTACCACGCAAATGGTAGCCATACTCTTGTAAGAAAGTGGAAATCTTTTGTACATTGACCGCATCATTGAAAGGCGTAGCATCACCAATTTCCCCTTTGTTAGATCCTAATTTACCTTGTAGGCATTCGATTAGATGTCCAATTGTCATACGTGAAGGTATGGCGTGTGGATTAATTATAATATCCGGAGAAAGACCTTCACACGTGAACGGCATATCCTCTTGACGATATTGGATACCACATGTACCCTTCTGACCATGGCGTGATGCAAATTTATCACCAATCTGTGGTATACGTACTGAACGTACGCGTATCTTGCAGAACTTATAACCTTCACTATTCAAGGTTAACATAACTTGGTCGACAATGCCTGTTTCAGAATTACGTAGGAACGTTGAAGCATCGCGTTTCGTAAATCTTTTAGTTGTGCCCTCTAATTCATCATCATTTTCTGGCAAAGTTATTGTCTTGCCAATAACAACATCATCACCTGATACACGTATACCGGGAGCAATGATGCCGTCTTCATCCAATTTATCGTAATGGGCATTGCGCATGCCCTGACAGGTTTGTCGGCTTGGTTTCTCAAAGCTTTCTTCTTGATCTCCAATACGTTTGTTTTCAGCATCTTTATAAGAACGATAAAATACGGAACGGAAGAATCCTCTTTCTACCGCAGAGGCGTTTAAGATAACGGAATCCTCTTGATTGTAGCCAGTGTAACATAAAATAGCCACAATTGAATTAATGCCTGCTGGTAGTTCTCTAAAACGTAAATATTCCATAGAGCGTGTGGTAACCAAAGGTTTCATCGGATAGTACAACACGTGGGCTAAAGTGTCCATCCGGACATGAAAATTGGTTATGTAAACACCCATAGCCTGTTTACCTATTAAAAATTAAATTAAAACAACATATGTTTAAACTTTTGAAATTTTAAGTTACCCATAGCACTTTGATACGTATTACGAGGACTTTGATTATGATCTGGGAAGGGAATGATCGATGCACATACACCCAATATCATAGCTGGATGGATTTCACAATGTGTATACGTAGTGCAGTAGGCATAATCTTTATCCTGTTTCAAGTCATATGGTGACATGGCTATCATTACTGTTTCTTCCTCTAAAGTGTCGATATATTCCACAACACCAGAAGCTACCAAAACTTGCCAACTGTAATTGTTATAGTCACGCTCTTTTAACATTTCCACATGAGACTTTTTCAACAATAAGCAACCATTCTCAACAATTAGTAGAGGTCTACATATACGACCGGCATCTGTGTAAATTCGAATCTCACGATCACGTATATCTCGTATCATAGATACTTCGGAGACGATGATGTCCATTTGCCGTCTCAGTTTTCGTAATGTTGCCATTAGCTGTTCAGGATCACGATGAATACCTACCCAACAACCGTTCACAAATATTTTAGTTGCATCAGCTATGGCAGATGGAGCAATTTCTTCGAGATTCTCCATTGACCACTCTTCCAGGAACTCCAGAATGGGGGATGGTTGAGACCCTACTGATATATAGGCCATAAGAGCCAAATTTTTTACCAAACCCACAGCAGCCCCTTCAGGTGTTTCTGCAGGGCACAACATGCCCCATAAAGTGTTGTGTAATTGACGCGGTTTAGCAAGCTTGCCATCACGCCCAATGGGTGAGTTAACGCGTCTCAGGTGAGACAAAGTGGAGGCAAAGGTTAAACGGTTTAATACCTATATAGGAGAAAATAATTTCTTTTAAAATCACAAACTATGCACGAATTTGAAATCTACTTGTGATACTCCTGCTCTAGCTTGATGGGCCTTCTTTTGATCACCCCAGTTACCCGTGGCCAAAGAATATCGTAAACCATCGGTTATAATATTGGTTTTAATCGCCAGCTCAAGGTTAAAGTCCTTACCGCGATCAATAAATTTCTGTGTATACATTCGTACTTCTTTCATGAGATTTTTAAATAGCCCACGGAATAAGAAGGCCAACAATGGACCAGCTAAATCCAACCTTTTGTTGCCATAATGATCCCTGTCATCTAGTTCTCGACGTCCAAGAGAAGCTAAGAGCAAGCGATGTACCATGTAACCCAAGAAATAGGCTTTCTTCGTTTCGCAAAAGTCAGACACTCCTACGTGCGGTAACATTTCTTTTTGTAAAATTTCTTTTGCGTATTTAATACGCTTGTCCTTTGTGACACCCGGTCGTGCTCCTCGCGTGCCTATAAAATTTAATGCCACACTTTGTTCTTGTACAACGAAGGCTTCATCTAAAGAGGGCTTAACCATTTCCATCATTTCAGGATCGTCGAAGTCATAAATAATATGTTCTAGTATATCACGATCAGCTACAAACCCCAAAGCACGAAATACTATCATAATAGGAATTTCTTGTTTGATATACGGGAGAATTGCAATAATGCGTTGACCTATGGCAGATTTTTTAATGTTTTGCGAACCGCGAGCCATCATATTTACCCATAAAGTTGACGTCGGTCTGGAACTGTGCTCGAGACATGATCGTATTTCTGTTTTATATGCATATTTGCCGTCTTTCATGCTAAATACATATACAGTATTTGTAGCCATTTTTTCTTGAGCAATTAAAACTTTCTCAGAGCCATTGATAATAAAATAACCGCCAGGATCTAAAGGGCATTCATTTAACTCTGTTAAATCACGGTCCGTTAATTGCGACAGTAAACAATATGTGGAACGTAACATAATGGGAATTTTTCCTATAAAAGTTTTTTGATGTTGAGTTTCCACGGGAGCTTGTCCTTCGACGATTTTAGTCTTCGTAATGTCCACATATAAGGGGGCCGAATATGTTAAGTTACGTAAACGAGCTTCATTAGGCATCATGGGACTAGGAGAACCATCCTTTTCCCAATGAGTGGGTTTAGACAAATAAATTTGTTCGAATTTTAACAAGAAACGGGGCTGAAAAGAGAAAATTATATTTCTTTATTTACCATCCATGATTAAAATTTACCGGCGTTTCTATTTCTCCGGAAGTGTGTTGAGCCTCAGCTTGCAGATCAATGGCTGGAGAATCTTCAACAATGCGCTGCACAGACATTTGTATGAATTCATCAAAACTGTCTAGTTGTTGGCGCACCAGTCCCTTTTCGTCGAAATAAGCGTTTATAACAATCCAACATGCTTCCTGCCATAACTCATGAGATATTTCCTCGGCATTTTCTTCATCATAGATTTCTGAAAATACATATTTCGCGTTTTACGATTATAAAAAATATTATGTTATAAAATCTTTTTTTTTTGGATATTGAGTTAAGATGGACGAAGCTAACAAATTGCTTACATGTCCAGGCTTCTCTCAGAGAGAAAAATCTTTTTTGACCTTTATAGAATTTACTTACCTTCTTCATTGTCGTACATCATCTTATTTTTTGAGTGTCGAATCTATCTTCTTCTTCTGCCTCAGCAAATCAACAAACGAAAATTCACTGAGTTGTGCCCAATGTGAACACAGAGTTCTTTGTGTGAACCTTAGTAAAATAGGGGTCGGATTTAATTGGTTAAGTGCAGAATTTATATATCTTCTTGTAAATTTTTAGATAAAATCTGACGTTAAAGTTTAGGCAATCATTTTCAACAAAGCTACTCAGCTGTTTTTTTTGCTCGTGTTTACTAAATCAGAGATGTTATAGAATTTTAAAGCTTGCCCAATATTTTTTTAAGTTTCTTATATGGCATTTATTAATTTATATTAATCTACAATTTTGTTGTTAACACAATATTATTTCATAACAATAGCTGAAATCCGCAAATATTGCCACAATAAAAAAAAAATCAAAAACACCAGTCGTTAAAAAAATTTGGAAAATAAAAATATATTGAAGTGTCGTCAAAAAAATATAATTTAATGATGCAGTTCAACTTTTCAGCTCGGTACGATGATGAGCAATTTAGTGCAAAAGAGTAATTTGTGTAAGATGTATATTTGTAATACGAATATACTTGAGCGATAGTAGAATCCATTAGAGCCAGTTAAATGAAAAGATGTTCCAACGCTTTGTTCAAAATTCAAACTAGTAAAATTACACGGACTATATGTGTCTCTGTTATCGATAACAATAGTAACGCTGTCGATTAGCAGATCTTTGACCAATGGCTCTTACATTTTCATTATTTGTATGGTCTAAAATTCTGTTGACGTAACTTTCAGTGAAAGTATGCTATGCAGACATATGAATATATTTTGCATAATTAGAAAAGTTATATTTCTGGGAAACGTTTGGTGAATTTAAATTTTTTCAATATGATATAATTCATTAAACGAAAAAAGTCACATTTGATACTTACGTATAATTTTGTTTATAAGTATACCGTAGCACTTATCCTAATATAGTTTTACTTTGAAAACGGTTGACACAACGTAAGCTTTAAAAAAATGTCTTTCCATAAGATTAATACGAATGAAAGAGCAAGCTGCTCACTAACACCTGTTGTGGATAATAGGAACATCAAAGGTTTCTTAGAAATTCGAACTATTAAAATGTTGAGACATCTTGTCATCTAGTTATTTCCGATAGACCTTATATGTGTGTTTGTCTTACATACACTTTTTTAAAGAAGTTACTATAAATATTATGTTTGAATTGTGCTCATTGAATCATCACTTGCGTTGACACGCGTCCATTATCAATGGGCCTTTTAATAATTAAATTTACTATAGAAAATATTAAGGAGCACATTTAAAACATTAAATGTTAAAGATTGCTGTAAAAGTCAATGACCACAAAAAAAGAAAAAAAAAAGATTAAGTTAAAGGAAGTCCCATAACTGTAAAAATTCACCGAAATGAAAAAACAACGAAACTTGTACACATCGCAGTATTTGTTGGCATGTCGTGTTAAAAAAAGTAAGATGAATAACGACTTCCGCGTGTTATCGCCCACATAAACATCTGTTAAACTATTACTTTTCTCTATTGCAACGTACGGTTTCTGTGCTACTTTACGTACATAAAACACATACATTTATAGTTACAAATCCGATTCAAATGCAAAATATGTTTATGTCGCTTAGCCAGCCACTCTTCCGTAGCGATGTGGAAGCACTCGCAAATGCTGCTTTCTTTACTACTATAAATTCTGACTCATGCACATTTTGTAGGCGAGGAGATTGCTGGTTGAGTTGGTCTTATGAATCAATACACTCCTGTCTTCTTCAAAATACCTCAAGTAGGTAAACTGGATTAATTGCAAATTGTCGTTGCTGTTCTTGCTATATAATATGTAAAAGCAGAAGCACTTATGTATTCAAATTTGCTGAAGTGTAGGTGAAAAGTTTACGTTACTACTAATGCGTGTCGGAACGATAAAGTCGGAGAAACAAAATAGGACCGCGTGACATTGTTATCATACAGCGTTTGCATATAGGCCAAATAAGTGTAGGTTCTTTTATTCAGACAAGCATATATTAAGATTAAAATATCCAGATCTGAAATTGTTTCAGATCATTAACAATGGTTGGTGCGCTTGTCAACAGGGGGCATACATTTGTAAATTGGAACTATACAAGTAATCTAAGAGCAAACGATTAATCATTTCTAATTGGTTTTTTTGTGATTTATTGTAAATCCAGAAAAGGCGGATATGTATAACGATATGGTTAATTTGATGTTGATGATTATTAATCTTAGGCTGAGGAAAAATTTATATATTTTAGGGAATATTTAACACTTATGATTCCCAAAGACGCAGACAAAGTGACGAAATTAATATATTCTCACCGATCGTGAGAGGGAAAACACGGAACACATGAAACTATAATTATCTCAATTTAAAGGAAAAGCTCAAAACAATGTTTTATGTTTAATGGAAATCATTTGCATATTTCAAACAACTTAAAAAACAGCATACTGAAAATATGTGCCGTACATATACACCACACTTATAAATCTTTTGGTGAGTTCCACGTTCCCTATATAAAAATATTTGTTTGTGTTTCTGCACGTGTAAATAAGTGTATTAATTACTTCCTCGTATACATAAAAGATTGTTTAATCATGATACTCCTTCAAGACGTACATATTCATTTACATAGGTAGTTCGCATTTTCCATTTAATTAGGTTTAATAAAGACATCGAATGGGTCAATGCTTGCATATGCAAAAATGCGCCGAGAAATTAAAATAGTCTCTTCTTGTTTTTTAGAAAGGCAGACAACATTGGCATCGTCAGAAATATTAAGTTGTGCGCTTCTTCATCAAACGATATAAGTAACTCTTTGCCAACTGTATGACTGGCTGTATTGTAAAACAAAAGATTGAACAGAGAGCATTTATTTATTTATTTATTTACTTATTTATTTTAATTATACTACTTATACATAAAACTCAACTAAACAAATAACAGTCGAGTTCAATTGGCTCTTAATGCAAAACTTATATTAATTAATAATAAAACTTAGTATAAGTA